TTTGAGGAGAAAGTAAATTCGCTTTCAATTTGACAACTTAATAATATACTTAATCCAATAACGGTATACGATATATGTGTATATTGACGGGGTGCCTCTACCTCAACATAACGGCAAACAGGTGTTACGTGAACGTAGATCACAGATTGCACTCGCAAATTATAAATAAGTACGAGAATAGTGGACTGGCGGGCCGCCGACCATTCATTGTTTGGGCAGCACAAAAAATCGATGTATCCGGTACCGGCAGGCAATACAATTTCACTTTTGTATTTTATTACGACTACTTGCTATTAATGGAAGAAATACCAACAGTTCTCCAATATCTGTTCCACTGACATGACACAGTTCTATTTCAGTAATAACGCAACACAGCTGTGCACAACTTGTAATGGATTACAATTTTAGTTTGCATTTCAAGTTAGCATGCATGCGTGTATATTTGTTTCCATTGCAGATTACGAGAAGTGTCATATTTGACTGTTCTATAACAACCGTACTCAAAAAGCCTTAAAATATCAAGGTAAATATTTGATTCAGTCAATCACACTATAGTCTCCACATTTGACGTTTCTCATCATCATCAGCCGATGGACGTCTACTGCTGGGCATAGGCTTCTCCAAGGCTGCGCGGACAGTCGGCAACGGTTGCCGCGACCACACCCGCACTCCCGGCGTGCATTGGGGGGACTGCGGTCCTCAGAATGTACGCCGGGTGACCGGTGCAGGAGTATTGTCTGGTTTTTAGTGGTCCTGTTCAGGGCGTTAGGTAGGGCCCTGCTCTTTCGCCCGGCCTAAGGGCTGGCTGAAATGAGCAGGGAGGAGTCTCACATACCTTCCTCTCGTCCGGTGGTTGAAGGATGCGTAAAGCATTTCCCAGGCAAAAAAAAGGCCTCTCCAAGGGATTTCCTGAAGGAACGAATAACGATCCTGCGCTCTCCACATCCAGTGGGTCCCCCCGACTCGCTTGATGTCGTCAGTCCACCTCGTTAGGGGTCTAACTACACTGCGTTTCCCGCTGCGAGGTTGCCATTGAGTTATTATATGTAGTTATCTGTGCTTGTCTCCACTGCATTGTCATGGCTGTTTTATCTTTTCTCCTTACAAAATCTTTCAATGTTTACTATATAAAGCTAATCTACTCACTCAAAATGGTGATGGCTGAAAATCGGTGTTTTGCCTTAAAACTGGCAAATATTTAGCCGAGCCTTGGCCTTTTGTTTTCTGCAGCATACATATGGGTATTCATAGCCGATTTCTTGTATCTTTTCATTTTTCTTTTTAACTGTATTACTCTGATATGTATATGTATGTTGAGAAAAAAATTAACGCATTATTTATCTATCATTGAAGCACCTTGGGACCCCAACGTTTGTTGACGTTGACGGTTATAAAAACGTAAAAGAATATCCAACATGCTGAAGCAGTAGCCCCTTTGTCAGCAGACTAACAAGACATGATATCATCCAATGTCCACTCAATCAGTGAGGTCGTTCAATTGCAAAAGCAATTTCTTCGTCGTTACTTACCAACATAATATAAAAGCTCGACTATATGAAAGTTACCGCACGATAAACGCGTATAGCTTTCTCCCACTGAACATAGATCATCAAATGTTCGTATTGTGCTTGCCGATAATGCAAGGCAGCATTCATGCTACACGTGGTATCGTGGTAGATCAAAGATCTTAATTTTTCTGATTGATGATCCTTTAACCATTTGAATAATGATAATAAATTACTTTTAATGTTTAAATGTACCACAAGTTACGCAATCAACCGTTCTTGTTTCAAATTAGTTTAGTTTGGTACAGACAGACTAATACGGCGCAGTAAAATACTTTTGAAACTGTATTAATAAATGACAGCTATGATTGATGATGACCTTTAGAAGAATTGTTTCTATACATATAGAGTAAACTTTAATTTAAATATAAAAAATCTACAAGTTTTGTTATGATTAAAACAATGGATAAATACAACAAATTACTAATGAATCTTAATGGCTGACTATTGACAATAAACAAACGAAGAGAAATAATGAGAGAAAGAATTTTAATTATAGATGCCAATGAGACTAGACGTTCCTGCTTCGAATAGCTTAATTGCTAAGAAATTCTTTCCACTCTATATCTGGGAATTGATCTTCACAGACACTGTGTGCCTTGAAAGCGTTTCTAATCTCAAATAGACCGCTCAGATTAGAGACTATGATGATTGTAATAATAACGTAATTTATTTTGATTCATTTTGAAACTTTCAATTTCATCAAAAGCCCGAATAATCTAATTTGCTTTATGAATATAGCTACTCGGTTACGTTGCGAAACCGCCGCCGTTTGTTTTACTAACCCGAAAATAATGGTTGCCTAATAAGATACCCTATTGATCGGGCGATGTTACACGCTGTAAAAGATTTATCACTTATTTATAATCAGCGTGCTACAAAAATGCATTAACCTATTTAGCAGAACGTGAAAAGGTTTCAATTTACAACAATGGACAAGGACTAACGCATCAAAAACGCATCAAAGCAATTACATGAGCGCGGGCAAGTGTGGAGATGCGGTGAATTTAACAGCTTCTTCGCCACAGTCAGCCTTCCACGTGCCGCAAATGATTTGGTTACAAAATATCCCGCCGCTTGTTATGCCTACGTACGTATATAGATAGATAATGTAACAAGGTCTGCGCCTTATTTGAACATCGTGGGCGGAAATATGCAGCGACACCGAGAAACCCAGTTTCGACGCGAACACCGACGTTGAAAAATATTGGGTTATTGTAATAACAACATAATATTTAATCTGAAGATTTCTCGTGATCGGCTTAAATGTTAACAAATCGTTCGGCAATACAAAACCTATTTTCTCTACTATGAACCTATGACGGTTGATGCTTTCGTTACTTCCGTAAGTCATAAGTTTTCAGCAATTGCTTAATCATTAGCCTTGAAGTTATATTGACAGATCTAAAGGTAGAAATCCTTACTGCAATACCTTGGATTGTGGGTACTTATTCTGTACCAGGCAACGTATGAGTAATGATCATTTTATTTACATCGTTAAGCATTTAACTGCTAGATGTTTAAATGTATACTTATATTTTGTGTATTTGTAACTGATGGCTTAATAAAATGTTTGTACTTGTTGTTGTATTGTTATTGAAATGTTGGCTCATCATTCATGAACGAATAATTAATAAACATTTACTCAATGAAGTCTGAATGTGACTTTGAACGAAGATTAATACTAAACTTGGTATTTGACTCATAGTGTCGGCCACCTTTGACATTTTGCTAAACTCCTCAAGAGATGGCAAAATAATGCAACTTTATGTCTTGAAATATGTTCAAATTACTGAAAATAACCATCAAGTTGGATCGAATATTCGTCATTGAACATGGTGTGTGAAATGAAATTTTTATGTATCCACATGAAAATTTCGGTAATAGGATGGTGTTTTTGGACTGAAATCTATTTTTTTGTCATATTACATTAATAAATCAAATCAATCATATGAGTTTTATTGGTGTAACATAATTATTACTACAGTACCATAACATGAGCCCTGATGAGAGCACAGCAAAATATAAATCTCGTAAAATTCATACTAAAATTTTTAAATGAGGAGAATTACCAAATGTCTAATACAAATGATCATAGGTCGCGCGTGTTGCGTTATAAACATGCATAGCCAATAGTTTCAAGTTTTCCGTTGACTTCATTTAGAATTCTTGCGACAAACTGGTCTTGCGTCCTACAGTTCCGTTTACGTTCACAGCATTCCAATAACACACGACTCCGTCACACGTAGAATTAACGTACAAAGTGAAGTTTCGCACGCGAGAACGAGAAAGATATCAATTAAATAAAACATTTGATTTATCAATGAATCGTTCAAGCCACTGCAATGCTATTTGTCTCGCTGGAGAAAAAAATACCAGACTGATACTGGTGGGAATGGAAACTATACAGAACAATAGTGTTGACCCGAGACTCAATTTCCAATGGCAGCAGACCATTACCATAGCAATTGGCTGATTGTTCTACGCGCCATAAGACAAAGAGACATATTTTTTCTGACGCTGGATTCCAAAAAATTAACCGTAACATTTTATATAGACAGCATGCTACATTAAGCTGTATAATTACTCGAATTAGTTGATTATTTAAAAAAATGCCAGCTCGATTATCTCTAATCCGTATGGCTGAGCAAATGGAACATCAGTTTCGATTTAATTTACTGTGTTAGTCTCGAGTTGCTCCACATTTAATAAGGGGTAAATAGAGAGTAAGCGCTTCTGGGATGATCTAGGTCGGTAACCGCACTTCTCTCAGCGTCAGTGCCCAACGAGCCGTGATCCTCCTCCGACGAGATACAGCCACGGTCTGATGACCTAACCTTGGCTCCATCCCGTGTCCCGACAGAGTGGTGACATCATCAAAGAAAGAATTTATTATACCACACGATGTGGTGTGAGGCCAAGGGCGGTACTTCGATCAATAGTAATAAAACATTAGAATGATTAAAGATAAGATGAAAAAAGCCTTTGATAGCTAATTGACAACATTCAGCTAACACAACCTATTTTAATAAGGCGTAATCATCAGAGTGCTCTACACGAGAACACTGTTAAATTACTGAAATGAAAAGGCATTTTTTAAAAATAATTGACTATTTAAGATTGACTAAAATGAGCTTTGTAAATTTTAGCCGAAATATGTGATAAGGTATCTGAAAAAAGTTGTACTTAAAGCTTAATTTTATCAATAGAAGCTACTTTTTCGCAAACTACACAACGTTATCATTAAAAACTTATCAAGTAGATCGTGTCGTTACATCGATTGCGTTCCATTACGGGCACGTCCCACGATAAAGACGCATCAGTAAACAAGTCATTATCGTGAACATTCCAAGCGCGTAGCGTTATCATAGTGCGATGAGCGGTGCCTCGGCACTTTCAGCTGTTACGATGGAGGATAGTGGCATGGCATCTCACCGAGACTGAGACGGAGGCTGTGGGAGAGGCCGCGGAGTCCTCCGCGCCGGGCTGACCCTCCGGCGCGCTCATAAAGCGGCGGAGGGTGCCGTATCCGGAGGCGGACGCCACCATCGCTACCATAGTACACAAGCACTGCACACTGGTCACTGGCCACCTGGTGACATCACTCGCGCGGGCGGGTCGTGTCGAGCGGCTCGGGTCGTGCGCGCGCGCCTCTACACGCGACTCACTCTTTACTACTGAAGCCGCTAATCGGCGACCGCCGGCTGCGCCCTGCGGCCCCCTACCAAGACGCTCCGACTCGAATGCGACTTTTCGTCAAATGTACTAAGTTAATTCTTCCGTTATCTCATCGTTTTAGGTAAATCACTACAAACTTTTGTCCCAGTCATTATTTATGTATTTATTGTATAGATAAAATCAAGCTTATAAAATCTTAGAAATTATTATATTATGAATGGGTGTGATAATAATGAATTTGTTTTACCAAACACATGTTAATCAAATTACAAGATATGCTAATCAGCCACATTGGTGATAAAGATGCACCATTGTTAATATGTGAAGACAATTGATATACCTATATCATTTGAAAATCTTAGAGTTATGTTTAAAGATCAAACTTCCCACTGAGTAAAAAATCAGCTCAAAGTACAGGAGTATTGATTTGCCAGTTTTACACCACTTTTCCACTGGGATGAAACAAATAACATACCTTCATTACCATGATTCTCTAAACTTTAAACTAAATTTGACAATAGTGTATTTTCATCAACCCCGATTTGTATATCAAGTGCATATGGTAAGTAACTCCTCATTCCACATAACTTTATTTGTATTTTGTGAAATTTTCACATTGTCTGCAAAATTCATGAAAAAATCAACTTGTCTAAACTTCCATTTGCATTTCCATTTTCATCATCTAGATAAACTAATGAACAAGTTGATTTTTTAGGAAAATATGAAAATGATCACTAATAAAGTACAATTACAAACCAAAAGGTTAGGCTAGATTAGCAGTTGTATTTTTTGAAGATCATGACTATATTTTGGTGATCATTTCATATTTTAGGGGATTGATTAAACATAAGCCATTTTCAACATATTTTCATAGATTTGCAAGCACTCCTTACCAAATTTATATCAACACATTCAAGGCATTTATATTTTATTTATATTAATTATATAGATATAGACATGATTGATATTAATTATAAGATGTCTCAAAACCTTATAATTTATTTATTTTTTATATTTTTGAAATAAATGTAAATTGAAATCAATACACATTTTGACTTTCCTATAAAATATCAATCCACCAAGTAAACAACAAAGATACTGCAAGATTATTGGCAAGATTTTGTTTTTGTAGGTGAATTATAATTTTTAAATGTTTTCATTCGAAAATCGCATATGAAAAAAGTAAAAAATAATATCTAGTACATGATTCAGCAGTCTGGTGAGGCCAAGATTGAAACAAGTACCTATAATTACTAGAAATTAAGATTGGTTTCTTGATTTATTTCTTAAATAAATAAATTGGATCTCTGAGTAATCAGTGTATACAGGTAAAGATATCTCAGAATATTCATATGTATAAAAACTGATGTAGAACCTCTTTCTTTTTTAAGACAGTTAAAAATAAACCTACAAGCATCGCAAGGTCACTTGCAAATTTGTAATACTTTAGAATCTGGGGTAGGAAATCAGCACATTTCCTACCCCAACCATAAAAAAAATAATACACCAAAAATACATTTTGATACCAAAATTTACCTGTTGCCCAAACGGAGCAGCAGCAGAAAAATACCAATAATTCTAATTGCACTTACCTTAGCTTTTTTCTTGCTGCACATTTATCAATTGCAGCAATTTAATGATATCGATAATAAAGATAAACTCCGATAGGACAATTATGACTTTTAGGTAGAGCTTAAGTTCCCACAAGCTTGGTGTTTTCTCATTTTAGTAGCCTCTTACAAGACCAAAAATTAATTTCAAAATACTTGTTGTGACCAAAGTCATATAATGCCAAAACAAGTTCAATATCATTTATTCAGTTTAGACTGTTAAAAGCACTTGTGAATGTCGAAAAGCTATGCCATCTGTTCTGGGATCTTGTACTAAGAAGAACTAGCAAGAAACTCAGCAAGGACTGTTTTTTTCTCCCCATTTATACATATTAAATTGAAAAGAGACTTGATAATTCATGAAGTTACTTTCCATTACAAATATAAATAACATCAAAAAATTATTACTATACAATATAATAGTCAAGTTATATTGTCTAAAACATTATTTGTTTCTTATGTTTTCAAACGCGTCTCTCATTAAATAAATCAAGTTTCAACAGTATAGATGCACTGATTTTATTTATTTATTGATGTATTATTCAGACAATGCATCCTGAAAATAATGCAAAACGTGAATAAATAAATAAGATCAGTGATCTACACCATTGAAAATTGTTTTATTTGTCTAAAACATTTTCAAGCCATTCAAATATCCTATAATTATAGTACATATTATTTTCTCTGTTTGTTTAATACACCCTATAGTGCTTTATGTTGTTGGTTGCAGAACTACTTTTCAGATATTTAGTTAATCTTCTTAAAGAAAATATTGACAAAGAGCATGAACTATGAATATGAATTGATGATTGACTTAAAGTTTGTTCCGAGTTCTAATAGATAGTTAATATTTATATTAACTTAACTCTAGTAATAGATTTATAGCGAGTTCATACACGAAACAAAAGAGTCAGTCACAATACACATCTGATATGACACATAAGGCGCATAACAATGTTCTAATACCAATAATTTATTCATCAACAGTGTGGGCAGAGGACAACTTCGCCCACAGACTACCTTGGGTTATTTAATGTCACTTAAAAAGAACTAATTAGATCTAACCAAAAAGAAAGCAATAACCAGGGAGATCTGGGATACTACTGACAGCAAATATAATTTTATTATATACAGTATAATTTCTTCAACAGGAAAAAAGAAATTTGAAAGAGGAATTTATTTCTGATATTAAACGAAATTTACTATAAGAGGATATCAAGGCAAACCCAAACATTTAGAAGGTCAATTTCACCACTACACATTATTGACCTGGCCTGTTATTGACCAACCGGCAATTATAAAATGTATGGCGCTCACCTGTTTAGTCTCCGCATAGTCGGCAGCTTCCATGTTGACATGTGCTCTTTCCTGCCTCTCCATGACTTCGGAATCATCAGAAAAGTTTATGTTGCAGTATTGTAAAACGGTACAATATACGCCCAAACATAACAATCGCGATGGACAAATGCTACTTCCAATGAAACAATGTCAGTGGTTGCACTAAACACGTTCAATGTTTCAGTTCGTTACGCTATCGGAAAAAAAATATAATGAAATCAAAGTGAAATGCACATTATGGTTGATTCACTACAGTCACAAAGCACCAGCTGAAGCTACATCAAAAAATTTTTGAAAAACAGTTTTTCACCATCTTAAAAATTTCACACATTCCGTCATCGAGGCCGACTGACGGTCGCTGCCCTATAAATCGTTTCAGTTTACGCTTCACAGTAGAATGTCACAATATCTCGTTAGTGAATAATTTTCTATTCAGGCCATAAAAACAGGTTTCTTGCAAATATTTTAAATTAGTTTTTAACCTAAAAGAAACTTATGTCCACCCGTATATTGTTTTATGAAAATGACAATAACTAAATTAAAAATATCATAAATATTAGAGTAAAATGAAACGTGAACGCAATGAAAAATATACTATTAGTGCCATCTCTCCGCAAACAGTGAAAAACTTATTTAATTCTAGTTATTTTTCATATGGCAATATAATGGTGGCGATTCTGGCATGATTATCTAAACCCTTAAACCTAAATTTGACAACGGTGTATCCTTGTGTATAATGGTGATTCCGACATTTTGTGGACCGAAAATTTAGAAAAGCGCACACTATTAGACATGGGCGTTTTTGGTTTTGAACGCAAACGGATATTTATCGGATTTCAGATTTCAAAATCGATTTTAAAATCCGTTTTTAGATATCCGATTTCAGATGTGCCGAACTAAGCCAATTCACTAGTTTGTGATATGATTTGGTTTTATTAGCTAACGACAATCACAAACAATTAATTGTACGAAGCAAGGATCCTCGCGCGATTTTCCTTTATGCTTTAAATCTAGGCTTAGGCAAGAGTATATATTCTGTGGCTTAGGACTAGCAGAAAAGTTATCTTTACCGTTAAGAGTAAAACTTTTGCGGCGCATTTAAAAATCGGCTTATGTTAAATGATTTCTTTTTACATATTGACGTGACAACGTCTTAAATTAGGTTGCGGCTGGGAGTCACTTATGAAAAAGTGTAACGCTCGGTAACGTTACGATGAGTCTCTCGTGTTAAGTTTAAGTTTACATGTACAATGTTTTAGTAAACAAAATATATTTCTATAGTTAAAAACCACACCAGGCTGGTGCACCACGCGCAGGTAATGTGTGACCCACGCGTGCCCCACCTGCGGGGCATGCTTCACCTACCACGCCGCGCTATACAACCACACCAGGCTGGTGCACCACGCGCAGATAATGTGTGACCCACGCGTGCCCCACCTGCGGGGCATGCTTCACCTACCACGCCGCGCTATACAACCACACCAGGCTGGTGCACCACGCGCAGGTAATGTGTGACCCACGCGTGCCCCACCTGCGGGGCATGCTTCACCTACCACGCCGCGCTATACGACCACACCAGGCTGGTGCACCACGCGCAGGTAATGTGTGACCCACGCGTGCCCCACCTGCGGGGCATGCTTCACCTACCACGCCGCGCTATACAACCACACCAGGCTGGTGCACCACGCGCAGGTAATGTGTGACCCACGCGTGCCCCACCTGCGGGGCATGCTTCACCTACCACGCCGCGCTATACAACCACACCAGGCTGGTGCACCACGCGCAGGTAATGTGTGACCCACGCGTGCCCCACCTGCCGGGCATGCTTCACCTACCACGCCGCGCTATACGACCACACCAGGCTGGTGCACCACGCGCAGGTAATGTGTGACCCACGCGTGCAAGTAAATTCTTATTCTTATTTTCATTCAATTCCTTGTTCCTATTGTGCAATTTAATTATATTCATATCAATAAATATTCTACCGAGAAAAAGACGTTGTCACGTAAAATCTTCGCCCTTAAAACCGACTTTACAGGCAACCATTTTTGTTTTTTAGTAATTTTTTTGGATTTTCTGTTTGTTTTTATTATTTTTCAAACCATTTACAAAATCAAACCTAATTACTTCAGGTTAGCGTTCAAAAAAATGTCAGTTGCTCGACTTTTGATGTTTTTAGACATCTTTTTTCAGTAATAAATAATCCCGCCTTAGAGAAGAACAATAGATTTCCGTAAACAGCAAACCGAAATCGGACTTCCGAGCACGAAATCTGACTTCCGAAAACGAAAGCACGAATTTCGAATCCGATTTACATTTGGATACTTGTGGTGGTATTAGATCGCTAGCGTTTTGGTTCGGTTAGATTTCTGAAATCGGATTTTCTTGTTGAGAAATCGTTCGGTATCGATTTGTGTTTGAAATCGGATTTTGGATTCGTTTTGATATATCGGACGCATGCCTACACACTATGCATGTAAATCTTCTCAAATTAAGTTGTATTATAATTAACATGTTAAGGCTTCGTCAAACAGAACGCGTACTTAGCGCTGCGTATTAGCGTTATAGCGTAGCCTTTCACAGTTTGTCTATAAAGTCGTGACATGAATGTTTGAGGAACTAACATTATTCATGTGTCTGGCAACACCAAACTTATGTACATCAGCTGTCATCGAGTTTCAGTTGTGGAACAGTTTTCCTTTTGTATTTTTAATGTTTGGATTCTCTCTCACTACGGGATATTGGCGAAATTTCTGTGTGAAACGGAAACAGCCACAGAACAAAAAAAAAATTGTTTGGATTAAACTGTAATAAATTAAGACGAAACTACGCAGAAAGGTATAAAAATGAGTAAAGTAAATCGGAGTGGCACGCGGGAAGTGATTTTTAAAGTTTTCCAGCGATGTTTCGAAGACTACAAAGCTGGACGAATTTTGTGGGATTTGGACGATGTTTATGGGCGAACAGCATCTATGACGGGTATGAAATCGTGTATTTATTTGTTTGTAATCTGCCTGAAGTTACAAATTTAC